TATACATATATATATATATATATATACATATATATATATATATACATATATATAGTAACCGATATTTGGGGTAGTCGTTCCCTAAATACCGATTTCCCAAAGGGCATGCGTTCGTCCTCAACGGGGATCAAACCTAGGTCCGAGGGAACTTACCACAGAGCTGCCAACCAACGCGCCGTACGCGGTGCGCACGCCCACACACACACACACGTATATATATATTTTGTATCTGAGAATAGAGAGAATTCACTAGAAAATCACTCTTATACAATATTAGAAGATTGATCCCTTTATTATAATAATATTTTTCTATTTATAGAGGAACTCCTTAGAGCAAAAAAATAACTACTCATTACAAATAGATGTTGAAAGATTTTGCGTTTATTTTTATTGTCTCATTCTGATTTTGATATTATAATTAATATTCTTCCTAGCAGTGCTGCATTTTGGTAATTATTCCCCATAATGCTCGCAAGGTCAAACCCTTATCAACTTATTTGACCTTTGAGATAATTCGGCACTAGTAAGTTCAGCTACAAAGTGAGTTGTCTTTCTTGAATGAGTCGATCCCTTGAACAATGAGATGAACTTAGTCACTTCGACGAGTGGGTGGCATTCTCAAACGAGTGACATGCTCGTCTGCAAACTATTGAGCATGACTCTTTGATTGAGCTAGTAGAAGAGGACCCGCTGGACAATCTAGTCGCCCTTGCGAGTCATCTACCCTTTCATTTAGAAATCATACTAGGCTGCTAGTGTTTTATTGCTTAGACTCGTCCATTCATCAGTCGGTATGGCACTCTTGGCTAGGGAACTCAGTCGTTCATCTTGAAAGGCTATCAGGTTCTAATACCTAGACTAAATCAGGGGGGCATTTGGCTATACACTTATCATGCCATTGACATCATCTATTAAGATCTAATCCATTTAACTAATTTCCAAACAATCTTAAAAATTTATGAAATCATGCATGCTAAGAGTTCAAATGATGTCAAAGAATGAGGAGGTGAAATATAAAATTTCAGTTGGACTGAGACTGATGACTCTACTCCGAAGAGGTGAAATGGCCAACCCTCCAATGAACCGGTTCTATAAGCATGTGAAAATACATTTCTTTCAATGCATGTACAAAAACAGGAGCTTGAAATAACATCTGAGAACTAGATAAGACTGTCATGAATTGCGGGAAAACATTTCTTAATATATAGCGCATGCTTGATCAAAAGGTCTCATCACAGCTTATATTTATATGCATAGCACCCAATTCTTATGTATTTACATAACTGTTGAGTTTGTGGAGCCTGATTTGTAGCCACACAAGCATCCGAATGCACAGGACCGAGAGTCCGGAGCTTTTGCGCTGGGTTGTAGCGCTCAAGCGCTCACTCTGAGTGCAACAGAGGAGGGGGCGCTTCCTTAGGGGCGCCTAGGCGCCCAATATTGGCCGCTCAAGTCCCCATTTATGTGGGCGTTCCTATTTTTTCCAAACAACACGACACTTAGGTAAGTCCAGGCACCTATGCAGCCAGAGCAGTTGGTACGAAATTTCTTCAGTTTAAGAGCCATTTTCGAGCGGCATAATGTTAAGTCTTCTTGTGCATTGTTCTTTGACAAAAATCCTAATAAATGTGAGAATTGTCGGAGAGGAGGATTTCAGTGATTTTGACTTGTTTTTTTTACGTAAAATTGGAGAAGGAAGAGTTCGGAGCTAGGACTTGTAAGTTTCCTTGAGAGAGAAACGGAAATTGAGTGTGGTCTCTGTAACCTCTCTGATTTTCATAGTAGATTTTTTTTGGTATTGTGGCTCTATGGTTTTTTCCATTCTCGGGTTTTTCCATGTTAAATTCTTGTGTGTTTTTCTAGTTTGTTTTTGTTTTGCTTATGTTCGTAAGTTTGTTCCATTTTTATCAAATCTACGTGATCCTATTTCGTGGCGTGGTTTAGATTTATATCGAGTCTAACCCTTGGTAAATTTGAAATTGGATTCTTCAGAGTTACTCAACAATAACTAACACCTGATTATTTTTCAGTGGTATTATTTTTCATATTTATACCACTGAAAAATTTCATATCACAACAAAAATACCATCATTTTAACTTTTAAAAAGTGAAATACAGATCATCATGCAGACTCAGGGTGGTATGTATGTAAAAATCAAAGAAAAGGTATTAGATATGAAAATATAAAGGAATTGAACTGTCATTTATGTAAATCTTCCAAAGATATTTCATAAGAAAATAACAACAGACAACAAGTTAGAATCAGTATATCGGGAAAAAAATCGCAAATAACTACAAATAGAAATTACAATTTAATATCCATCTAACGATTCTTTTGATTTACCCCTTAAAATTTCATATCTCCAAAGATGTCAACTATCACAACCTTAGGGTTGTCAATTCGAGCTAAGCTTTGATGCAGACTTAAGCCATTTAGGACTGAACTAGCTTAGATTCTTATTAACATTAACCTTGAGATGAATTTAAGGATTGGACTGTGATTACCTTTGAGATGCATTAAAAGATATCTATTGAAATCAGTAAAATCCTCCAATGAAGAATGGCAGCATAACATGCCAATAACGCTTTCCCAGAAGTCTACCAACATTTCACATTTCAACTTTTTTGCTTTCATTATTTATTGGTAAAACGCTTTCTGTACGTAGACAATTAAACTAAACAAAATTGTAATCTAAGTAAATTTCTATTTAATAACATGGCTCAAATATTGGTGCTTCAAATTAAGTTTTTGGCATTTATAATCAATTTTAATGTCAAGTTCTTACTTAAAAATAAGATGCAATCAAACTAATTAAAGAAACAATTATTGCATACATACAAATCAATAAAGATAGATGAAATTAAAATAAAGATGTTTGTTGGTCTTAATAGAAAAAAGATTTGCATTTACTAAGCAAAGAAAACAACATGAATACTACCTTTAAATTAACTAGTTATGGAGAATAACAAAGAGGCGAAAAAAAAAGAATCTTCAATTAATTTATGTTGACATCCGAATGCAATATAACCGAGTAATAGGCGATTGATTTGATGGGCCAGGATTTGTTCAACTTATCAATGAAATGTATGAGTGCACAACAAGAGTTATTAGAAGAAAATATAAAGCCAAGGAATTTGCAATCTAAATAGCGTTGAATTAATAAACATATTGAAACCATCCTTTATATTAGTAAGGGATTTTCTTACAATAGCTAAATGAAATCTCGTCATTCGATATTTGCAAATTGATAAACAACAATTATTATATTGTAGATAAAAATAATCAATTAAACATCTTACATTTAGTTCATTAGAAATATCAAATATTACTGCAACAAACAACATTGATAGAATAGTAACAGAATTAAAGTATTGACAGACATTGGGGCTCAACTTCTTACATCTCTCAACCTGCATCTACTCACCCGAAACTCTATTTGCATACCAAAACAATGGCTTCAACCAGCCAACATTACACAAAAAGTTCAAAGCGCCATAGTTTTGGGGTGAGGTGACAGATTAATTCACACAAGATAAGAAAAGTTTCCAAGCCAAACATAAGTAATTCTCAAACAAGCTAGTCACACTATAAATTTAAAGTATTCTATAAAGAGAGCACACTATCACTTATTGTGTCAATTTCAAAGGCCATGCCTTCACATTAAAATGCAGTGGATTATTGTTCGTATATCTAAATTTTCCACAATGTCCCTCTAATTCCTCGCCGATCCATGTGGAAAACTTCACCCAAACGCAAACTCCTAGTGACTTTAAAAAATAACAAGATGGTATATGGGTAACATGTAGTATTAAAGGGCGTGCCACACATTGCACATTTGGATGCTCTAACATAATAACAATATGTCTTACAAACTACTTATCATTCATTTATTTACGTTTCTACAAATAATCACAAGCAATTCTCAGACATCTCTCCACCACACCATAAACACATGGGAAAAATTTTGATCCCAAGAGCAATCATCCACTCCATCATTATCTTACATATATTTCTTGTGGCATGCAAACATTATGTGCTTAATAAAATTATCATAAACATTATTTAAAATGTTTAATTTGTTATCCTGCTACTGGTAATGAAGCATATCTGAGGATGCATAAATAATATCATGTTGAAAATAGGCATGGGGAGGAAAAAATACTTAATTTCATTATTCACATATAAGGTACATATATATATATAAAGAAACCAATCTCTCCTAATTTACAAACTTGACAAATATATCTAGTCTAAATTAGGAAAGAAAATAATTCTGAAATTAAAAAAAAAGAATTATAAGAAAGGGGTTTCCAAAGATAACACCAATCAAATATTTCCATGACTTTTTGAAGCAGCCAGCCGGACCACCATGAGGAGGAACCAAACATCTCAACTTTCCACACCCCTCAGCAAGCTGAGTTATAAATGTTATAGAGACCAAGCTTCATATTGAACTCTAGGAAGGTGCTTAAAAGAAGACTTCGGTGAAGACACCAACTTATCAGTGCGTTAGGATGTAGCTTAGCTATATAAATCCACACGTTTTCATGTAAACCAATGGATTCCATTGAAAAAAAAAGAAAAATTTTCAAGAGGCGACGTGGTATTAAAGGGAGTGCCATACGCTTGGATGCTCTAACACAATAACAATATGTCTTACAAGCTACTTTGCATCCATTATTTTTACATTTATAAAAAAATCGCAGCCAATTCTTAGACATCTCTCCAACACGTACGTGGGAAAATTTTAGATCCCATGAGCAATCTTCCTATCCATCATTCTCTTACAAACATTTCATGTGGCATGCAAATATTTTGTGTTAAATATAATTATCATAAACATTATTTAAAATGTTTAATTATCTATCCTGCTTCTGGTGAAAAGAAATATATATATAGATATATATACGAAGTGACCAAAACTAAGAAAGAGGTTTCCAAAGATATCTTGAATCAAATCTTTTCAAGATTTTATAAAGCAGTCAACTGACCCACCATGGAGAAGAGTAGAACTTCTTAGCTCTCCACACTCCCCCTCAATTCGGGTCATAGATGTAGAGTCTAAGCTTGGTATTAAACTCTAAGAAGGCGTTTAAACGAAGAGCTTTGGTGAAGATATCAGCAATTTGTTGGTGTGCCAGAGCGTAGCTTAGCTATATAATTCAACCATTAACCTTTCCAGAGATAGTGTTTATCAATTTCAATATGTTTAGTCCAGTTATGATGCACTGGATTCTTGGCAATATTGATGACTGTTTGACTGTCAGAAAATATCTGTATAGACCTATTAGAGGTGTAGTTCAATTCCTTTAATAATTTATGAATCTAGATCCCTTGAAAGATTCCTAAGGCAAGTGCCCTATATTCTGGTCCAACACTACTTCTAGAAACAATAACTTGCTTCTTACTTCTCCATATAATCAGCATAGGAGCAATAACTTTTGGTGAACTTTTTGTCAATGAGTTCCTCAACCCAAATTCAATCAGTATAGACTTCTACCTCTATGTTTTTTATTTTCTCAAAAAATAATTCATAACAAGGAATTTTTTGAGAAACCTCAGAATTATGTACATCTCCAAAAATACTCTTCATTTGGGTTATTCTATGTGTTAGTTCACGATGTCGACTGAGTGTAATATCTAGCATCGAATGCAAGGTATATGAGTTTTCCTACTAATCTTTGACATCTTCCATTATGAACAAATACACTTCTCTATTATAAATACAACACACACACACACACAAGTGCACACACGCTCAAACATGCACGCGCACACACACACACACACATTTATCCATGTAATGACAAATTTATTGTAATAATTTTCATTCAATATTGAGGAAATCATCATCATTAAATTCCAATAGATGTATATATATATATATATATATATATATATATATATATATATACACACACACACACACGCAATAATGTTCATTCAATATTGAGGAAATCATCATCATTAAATTCTTATATATATATATGTGTGTTGTATCATCCTCCTTCATTCTACACATAGGGCATCTAGAGGCTAATTTCAAGCCCTTAAGCTTAAAAGCTTATTTCAAGCCCTTAAGCTTAAGAATGTCATCCAATGGGATTAACGACATAAGATAACGCCAAAGAGTATATATATATGTGTGTTGTATCCTCCTCCTTCATTCTACACATAGAGAAATTCTTATATATATATATAGGCACACACACACACACCCACACCCACACACATACATCCATGTAGTGTCAAATTCTTCGTGATAATGTTCATTCAATATAGATAAAAGCAATCCGCTTCCTCAAAAGAAGTGTCTTCATTCAATATCGATAAAAGCAATATGCTTCCTCAAAAGAAGTGTCCCTAGTAGGTCTGCAACATCGCTTAGAATTTTTAATTGGAGAAAAGTAGAATGAACCTACATTGCAATTTGAGAGACGTCATTGTTTAGGAACTAACTCTTTATATTTCTAAAATCATTCTAAGATGATTACATACCTAGTTTAAAATTTAAAATTCAAATAACTCGTATAATGAGAGAAGTGTTAAAATGGTGCCTTGACTAATTGCAAGGGGCCATTTTAGTCTCAGATTTTGAAAGAGAGCCAAAATAATCCTCATTGACTTTTAATAGGTGTTAAAATAATCATACAGTTAAAACTAACAGAAATTGATATCTAGGATGTTAAAAATGGGGTATTCATAGAATTTATATTTTATTTTTTATTTTTGAGTAATCTAATTCATTACTAACCTTACTTTAATTCTATTGTAATGAAAATCATGAACTTTTATTTTTTATGATAAGATATTAAAAATTTAAATTTATAAATTGATTTTAGTTTTTTTTCAAGACTAAAATATATTTTGAAGCTGTTATTAGATATGTACAATTAGAATTACTTGATTTTATAACATTTAATTGACTATAATATTTTTTTAGAAAAAAACAATACTATTGTACATATTGTTCATTAATGTATATTTGATGTAATGTAATAATTATATTTTAGTCTTTTGAAAAAGAAATAAACCAATATAAAAATTTAAAATTTTAACAGCTTATCAAAAAAAATTGTGAATTTCAAAACAAAGGAAATACAATAAAATTAGTAATGAATTATTAAACTATAATTATTGAATAATAATAAAAATTCTAATAATACCTCCATTTTTAACACCCTAAATATGAATTTTCCTTACTTTTAACTGTGAGAGTATTGCAACACCAGTTAAAAGAACTGGGGCACTACTTTGACAATTTTTCAAGTTCTGGGATTAAACTGAGCCTTTGAAAATAGTCGGGAACTATTTTCACATTTTTCTTCTTATATAATAAAGGCATGAGTAATCATCTCACATATTTAGGGTCATTTTTTATTACTTTGTATGTATTTTTTAAGTTTTTTTTTTTGTTTAGTTTTAACTTGAAATACAAGTTTTAACTTGAAATACAAACATATTTGATACTTAAATGTAGCATTTTATTTTTATTGAATATTTCATAAGTCAATTTTGAGGTAAATTTGTAGGTTGGTAATGAAAGCCATGGCAATAACAGTGACATTGACCAACAGTGAAGGTGTTTGTTGGTTAACAAACAATGAAGGTAGCAAGCCCCCAACCGATGGATAATGGTTAGCAACAGTCAAAGATGATGGCGAGTACCGCTGGAAATATAACTAAAAAATCTTAAAGATCTTTTTTTGTGTGATTATGAACTAACTAGATTTGTTTTTAAAATAGAAAACAAAAGATGATGAAAAATACATATTAAAAGAATTTAAAAAAATATTAAAAAATAAAAATTAATTCCAAATAGCACATAAGAAAATGATATCAATTAAAGAAGAAACAACAAAATTTCTTTGTCGGTGATGAACTTTCCCAGCCTATTACATCAATTAGAACTAGTTCCTAATATAATTGTTTCTAAGACTCCATACTTCTTTGCAATTCAAAGGTAAAACACCAGCAATGGGATGATTAATGAGAGAAAACATAAAAAATTAAAATAGGAAAAATAAAATCATGAAATATAAATTTTATAAATTCAATCAAATAATAAATTTAAAATGTAAGAAGTATCATAAAGTAATGTACATTTCCATAGATGGATAGTGCGAAAACGTACTGACTAGAAACAACAATAGTATTTAGGCTTAAGATACTCCTATACTACACATCTAATAAGCATGGTTAACAGCCTATGCAAAAAATCTCTTTAATTTAGTTGTAATAATGGAAGGGATAGAAAGCTCATTCAATTGGAATTTAAAAAAATAACTAAAGAAAATAAGAATAGCCTAGTGTAACAACAGCAAGCACAATAGAACAAATTGAAGACATTACAACAAAAGTTTGACAATAAAATTAATGATGCCTGAAATGAAAATTACATACCTGATATTTTTCTAGGAGTTGCAGCTCCAATTCGCATGGGTCTGCTAGAGCAATAAACTCCATTCATCTCAGTCATGGCAAGTGCTTTCTCAGTATCATTTCCAAATCTCACAAAACCATATCCTTTTGAGCGGCCAGTATTCGCATCAAATACTACCTTTGCAGCCTTTACAGAAGGATATTTCATAGAAAAAGTTTCTTGTAACAAAGTATCAGTGACATCAGGAGCCAGGTCACCAACAAATATAGAGTGATCCGGTGCAATATCGTAACGCCTATCACCCATGCTAAAAGATGCCCAATTTAACCTAAAAGGTTGGTCACTATTAAGCATCAAAACGCCCGTTAAAGTCTGAAGTACTCTCTCAGCCGCTGAATGCGTGAAGAACTCTACAAAACCATATCCTTCTGACTTCCCTGTTTGCTTATTGCGTATCACTTTTATGGCGCAGACCTGTCATAACAAGTTCGAGAAATAGCAAGTAAAAGATAGAGTACATTAGAATTTTCCAATTATAAATATTAGCATTACAACTTAAGTTAAATAAAAGGTTTATTGAATAATATTATGCAAGAAGTGCAACAATTTTGACACGCTACATAATTTACATCTTTAGTCATTTTAGAAAGGTTTGCAACAATATCGTATCATGAATTTTAAGTTGCACAATAAGCAACTTTTTACACCATCCCTAAACATGGCACTATCATCATTGTCTGTTAATGAACTCTGTTCCTAATGATTATACCAATATCCTTTCTGTTATCAACTGTTACAATGGTTAGAGGCAAAGCTCAAACTTTTTCAGCATCTAACATAAAGTTCACAGACTTTACATTTTGTTATAGAAAAACAGGATACATGCTTCTAAACAAAAATCAAGTACCAAAGCATGAAAATCAAGGAACAATAAAACAGGTAGGTAGCAGTAAGAGGTCATTAAAAATGTTTAGCTGACCAAAAGTATAATCAAATTGTCCTTATAGTCAACAAGGATCAGGCATAATGAACTCATACAAAAAAAAAAGCATGCATACCTTTGCAATAATTTATGACCTGACAAAAGTATTCCAAGCAAAGTCATCTTTCCTATAATGAATATTAACTATAAAAAATCATTAAAAACATACAATCATCTTGAAACATTTAAACTTCTATTCATGATTTAAAATTTAAACTTGACACGTTCTTGAGAGGGTCAAGATCCCTTTGGAAAGGGTTGTTATTTTTATCTTTTTGAAATTTAATTCTGTGTCCCTAGAATCAAAGTAAACAAGACTCCCACCAGATAATGAATTACTGCAACACCAATCAAAAGAGAGTTCTCTAGCAATGCAAATTTATAGTCGAACACTCAACAATTAAACCCTCAAAATCACTAGTCTTACATTTACATGTAGCTTTTAAAGACTTCTACAATTTTTTTTTTTTAACAAAAAACATAATCTTGACAGCATTTTTATAGGCATAAGTACAAATTAGACCTGATCTTTTATGATTGAGGTAAAGTTGGCAAGGTTACAGTAAAATAAATTTTAAACAAGCAAGTAGTGCAAGTAAAATTCTAAACAACAAAACAAAGTCATTTAAATACCTTGGTAATTGCGACATTGATGAAAAATTCAACTAGAGGACATACAATATCTTAAATTTAGTGCATCAGGTTCCTAAACTCATAAAAAGTCAATATCATATCAAACATACATTTATGGTTACTCTTACGAAATCTCAATCCAGTAAGAAAGTAGTTTATTTATGGCCTCTGGCTGTGTGATCTTGCAATGAAATATCACTACAAAATGAACAGTTAAGATTGGGATTCTCCCACAAAGTGGTTCATTATAAATAGCACAAACATGTTACAATCACAATCAAAACCCGAATGCTTCCAATAACTCAACCCCTTTACATTGTAGATCATAGGTACAATTGATCTGGTAAAAAGCCCTTTGCCAGCCAAGGTATCAATCTAAAATAAAAAGAACAGTTACTCTATGCCTAATAAACAACCTTACCCGAAACTTCTTTTTCATCATTGGGAGACACTTATAGGAAACTTAAAATCAAATCTTAAAATACTGACAATGGTGTGAAATCTTTGGATAGTTTCGTATAAAAAATCTATTATTTTTAAAATTTGACTTGAAACACAACAAAAGCCATCTATGAAAAGCCATCTACAAATTTTTTGAGCCTATTGATTTCTAGGGACTTTAATGGAGAAGCTTCCTCTTTCCAGTTTTGGTGAGTCTTACATATGCTATAATAATAGATAAATTACAATAGAAGTATAATCTTAAACCTTAAAATGATATCATAATGATCTTTAAATCTCCTTTCAATATGCTTCTGAAGTATACAATTATCATACAACTCATATTCATTAATATTATTGTTATATTATTTTAGCTGAGTGCTTCGACAGTGTGAAGTAAAATTAAATGTTGATTATTTATATTCATTCTTTATTTCTACTGAATGAATCATCAAAAACTCTTTTTACCACAAAGATAGGACATAGGGCTAATATTCGCTCAACAAATGCGGTCATCAATATTGAGAATCCATCATCTAGTTTGGTGACTTGAAAATTTCAGCTAGTATTGCTATTTCTTCATTGTATGCTTGTTCGGGGTCGTGTGGAAAAGCCTTAACCTGCGAAAACATCTACATGATGTGCACACCGGCCCATGCATCAGAAACATACCTTACATTCTTAAGCAATCTTTCATGCCATGATGGAGTTTGAGTTGAATGATTCTTACAACTTGAAATTTACATACCTTATTGTTTTTAGGATACACTATGCCATCTTCATTTTCATTGAGCGACTCAAATCAACTCCGATCTTGACGCATAAGGTAGTAGAATCTAGACACCAAGGTCTAGGAATTAATCCTTGCTTAGATCAAAATAAGAGATTGAGAAGAGCTCAGTATTGCCAAAGCCATACTACTTTGTTGCAACACTACGTCCATCTCTAACCATATTTTGGTTCTAGTTTTTTCCCGTAAAGTTAATGCATTTAGAAATGTCCTTCTTATGACAAAGAACCTTCTTACTCTTAACTTGGATCTTGATAAGTCTTGGGCTTTGTTTCCAATTTCCTTGATCTTCCACTGAAAGTTGGCGCTTTAGCTGCATTATTTTAATTAGATACAACGCTTCTTTGAATTTATTTTAAATTTAGTGCATAAATTACTTTATATTTGGCCAAAGAATTCATTCCATAACCAATGTTAATAAATTGTTCATAGCTACTTGGCAGTTAACTTAGGAGAATAATTGTCTGATCTGCATCTATTCTCACACACATGTTTCTTAATCAAGAAATATATGATTAAACTTGTTTTTTGTGTTTATTCAATAATTTAAACACACAAACAAGTTTAATCATATATGGGGTGGTGTTGTGGGGTGGGTAGAGAGAGAGAGAGAGAGAGAGAGAGAGAGAGAGAGAGAGAGAGAGAGAGAGAGAGAGAGAGAGAGAGAGAGAGAGAGAGAGAGAGAGAGAGAGAGAGAGAGAGAGAGAGAGAGAGAGAGAGAGAGAGGGAGGGAGAGAGGGAGAATAAATGAGGAGAAAAGAATCTTTACTACAAGTGTCTTTAAAATAAGGGCTGAGAATGCATTTATAGCCACACCTCAAGTTAATTGTGCCGATTGAATCATACAAATAACTCCCAACTCTAACAAACCAAAAATCATAAACAAAAATAAGTAAAAGGAGGTAAAGGACAAAAATAACTGAAGAAAAACTTATAAGCACAAATCTTTGTATGGCAATTTTGCACTTATTGCAATATGTTGCATAAATAAAATTCTACAATGCGCTTATATAAATGGAAGACTTTCTTGCTCAACAAGTGTTCTCTTTAATCATGAATTCATGAATGCAGTGGACACACAACACTTAAATTTTGATTTCTCATTTCCATCAAAAATTAAAACTACATTTTTTTGAAGTAGTAAAGACTAGATGAAATCAAAATGAACAAGAAACTTGTTACATCTTAATCTTAGTAAACATCCCAATTATGGCCTCGTGGAAAATATTTTAACCAATAAAAGATAACGGTGTGATCATTGAATATGAATTTCAAATTTTAATCTGATGAAATAATATATTGATTTAAAGGGAACTGAGAAGACCGGAAAAACTCGTTAGGCTGTTTCATTCTGAACTGAATATTCATGGTTTGGCATCTTGTGACATATTTATGACTTTCTTTAATCCAATGTCCATGCGCGTCCTCTAAATCTCTTAAAAACTAATAAAGCGGTCACAAGAAGAAAAAAAAAAAAACTAGAAACGAGATAATCTCCAATGGCTAATTTAAAATTGTGTCGGAAATAGTTAGAAGCGTTTATTACTAAGAATAGAGATTTCTATAATTATAAAAAATTTCCTAAACATTAAAGGAAAATTGCGTCTCACTTTCCAGTGACAAAGATACTGTTATCACATAAATTAATGTTTGATTTTGGATTTTTTTTTTCCTTTCCACAAAAACTCCTGTATTAGTTATTCAACATCCAAATTTAATTCCATGGCAGAGCTAAAAATAGATCACATTAAATAGAAATCTATATGATCGGATTACCCCCTTATCAATGCAAGCTCGTAATGCCAGGATCATTAAAAAGTCCGCTCATCAGATTTATAATGCCATAACCAGACTATTTTCTCATTCACGAAGATGAAAACATCAAATCAAGAGAGGAAAATAAAATTCAAGACAATAAGCGCAGAAATCCAGACCTCGCCGGTATGTGCAAAACAACTATGCAGATAATTTTCATCCATCCAGTAATGGAGATCTCCAACCCAGATTGTCTTGTTCTCCTCGGTGCTGCCTTTTCCTTGAGGCGGCTGAGAAAGCATGAGCTGGGGATAGCCGAAGAAGCGCGGCGGCGTAAATGGCAGCGGCGGAGGTGGCGGCGCCATCGGGTGCTGCATCATCAAAGTCGCCGGCGGATACTGCATCGCGGCCTCCGTGGATTCCGGTGGCGGTATTCGGGGGCAAGGAGGTGAGAAAAGAGGAGAGCGGCGAGGGCGGGGAGCCGGCAGTTGAGGAAGGTTTTCAGGTTGCAATTTCCCAGGGGCGTTGAAGGATATTTATAGGAGAGGCGGCTTCAAGGCAAGGTTTGACAACAGCCGTCGGATGACGCCTGCGAGGTGCAGTGGACGGCCTCGATGAGCGGTTCCATGGCCTTTGCTTGGTTTCTGTAGACAAGTGGAAGCGAGCAAATTGTGGCTGGATATGGGGTATATTACGGAAAATATAGGGTTAGAAATAGAAAATTCTGAGAAGCCCTGGTTGCTGGTGCATTTTAAAATTATTATGATATATGATTGGCTGCAGAGTAAATTATAAGATTAATGTGTGCCGATGATAGAGTGATATTTTAATTTTTTTTTTTTTGTATTGCATGAAGACCAATCACTTATATACTAAAGCAGCAGGTAGGAGAAGACACCAGGATTTTATATGAAAGGGATCTATCCCAGTCAAAATAATTCACTATCTGTTTGTAAGTATAACTCTTCTCATGAATTAGAGAAGACAGAATTACAAAGTTGATAATTACAAATGATATTTGGTCACATAGATCGCAGTTGAAAGTTTTAAGGTCGTAGTTGGTTGTGACACAAACAGTAGTTGACCACAAAGGTCGTCGTTGGAAGATGTAATAGCATTAATCAACCACAGAGGTTGTAGTTGGTTATTGCAATAACATCAGTGGGTCATATTGGTCATAATCGATAGTTGTAACAGTATTAGTCGGTCATAGAGGTTGCAGGTGGAAGCTTTAATAACATCCGTTAGGCATAGAGGCGTCGTTGGAAGTTAAAGTTGTGTCAGTCGGCTACAGAGATCATAGATGGTGACTACAATAGTGCCAATTGGTCACAAAGGTTGTAGTTTTAAAATCGTATTAGCGTAAATTGGTCATAAAGGTCGTAATTGGTGACTGCAATGTCGTTACTTGGCCACAAAAACCGTAGATGGAAATTATAATAGCGCCAATTAGCCACAGAGGGCATAGTTTGTGATTGCAATAATGTTACTTGCTCACAAAAACCATAGTTGAAAGTTGGGCATAGAAGCTGTATTTGGAGATATAAAAATGTCAACTGACCATAGAAGCTGTAATTTATGACCATAATAGGGTCACATAGTCAATTGATCATAAAGACCATAATTGGTGACTGCCACCCTTCTCTTAAGGAGGAGGTTATAATTTTATATCAAACACTGCATTTATCTTTAAAGAAGGACGTTATAATTTTATATCAAACACTGCATTTATCTTTATACAACATAGAGAAAACTTCAAGAGTCTAAAGAAAATATTTGTATTCTGAGTAAATCAATTATAAAAAGTTGTCATTGAGAGTTATTGCTGGTTCTTTAATATAGTGTTATTCATTTACATCATATTCGGGTTACATTTTTAACTGTATTTGAGATATGTCATTACAACTAATTCTAGATACTTTACCACATCGTTTATTGAACCCATCATTACATCGTATTCAGGAAACACAATTACACCATATTTAAGGTACATCATTACACAGTATTTGAGATATGTTGTTAGTTAGCGGAGTTTGCCAATAATGGTGAGTAGGGACAGATGATAGCGGTCAACGTTGGCCAGTGGGCAGTGAACAATAGTGGTTGATGACTACAACGGCCAAAAACTATCATAAAAAAAATTAATACAACTTTTTTCATTATACCTTACGTGGGATACATTGTTACATCATGTTTGGGATATGTCATTATGCCATACTTGAGATATGTTGCTATGTCATAATTAGGAAACATCGTTAGCTAGTAGAGTTCGATGATGACGGCAAACAGGGATGACTGACAATGATTGATTACAGTTGGTGGGCGGTGGTTGACTGCTATGGAGGTAATAAATTGTTGTCAAAACTTTAATACAATGTTTCTTGTTACACAACATTTAGAAAACATCCTTACACCTTATTCAGGATATGTTACACCATATTCGAAATACATTGTTAAACTAGTAGAGTTTGTCAATGGCGGTGAGTAAGGGAAGCTGGCAATGATCGATGATGGACGGCGGGTGGGATTGACGCAGGTCAGTAAACATAGAGGCTAGAAGTTATCGTTGGGTCTTCGAACCATAATAACATTGTAATTTGACTCCTTCCCTTGGGGGTCTACTTATAACCTACGAGGGAGGGGCAATTTTGTCTTTTGGAGTATAACTTCCCTAATTACCTGATTGAAAGACCAACATTGATCTTCCATAATTATAAGGATTTTCTTAATGATATGAGGACCTTAATAGTCTCAAAATTAAGTAATCTTAGGCTCGTTGAATTTCAGACACTCAATTTGCATATAAATATGTCAAATTTGGAGTTCACTTGATCATTTAATTAAGGATTTGAAGCCTCTAAATGTGTTTTAATGACTTGATCTAGACTTGATTAGATTTGGATCAAACTAATTTTAGTATCATCAAGTTCTTCTTGTTGATTCGACTAAATTGACTAAAAACTTGTAAAAAATGAGACCCTATATGAACTTGAACTTTAATATGTAATATTTATTATTAAAAAATGAATCGAGATTTATGTCAGATGATAAAAATTTGTTGATGACACACAATTTGAGCCCATTTTTTGAGTGATTTTGTTTGCTTCATCTAAAAAGTAAACTTCAAACACTTCAAAATTTTATACTTAAAGGATATTTAAGCTCAAGGATATTTTGAGATAAAGGAGAGCTATCCAATACTTTGATCATGTTATCATTGTTAGAAAGGATATTTAAGCTATCCAATACTTTGATCATGTTATCATTGTTAGTGTTGGAGGCGGTCAAACAATAGTGGCTTGTCATTTTGCCACGTAGGCATGTATGATTGAGCATACATGCACATGTGTGTGAGTAAATAAAGACAATGATAACATAAATATGTAATGAGATTCGAAGGCAAGCATGGATGTAGGTTAATATGCAACAGAGCGTGTGAGAATGAATGGATGTGGTGGTAGAGCATGCGCGCGCTCGTGCTTGCATGTGGACATGCTTGCACGACGAATCAAGCATGTAGTTATGGGGTGCGGGGGTGTGCACAAGGAAAAATGCTCGCAATAGTTGGGTGCACGGGCATGGGTGTCACTTTTGGCTCAATTTGATGTCAATGCATCACGTAAACGCCTTAGTGTGAAGCCCCGTGAAAATCACCATAACTATGCATGCATATCTTTGATTTACCATTATGACCCCATTTCAGATAAATAATGAAAAGATAGAGGAAATGGAGAAGGAACACTTCCATTTCTCAACATCAGGGCACCTGTAGTTTCACTAAAGTGCCATAATAAAAAAAAAATAAATTTTCATCCCAAGGGTTGTCTCCAATTAGATGGATTTTAATGTCACGTTAGTGGCGGTGTCAGGACTCCCTACTTACACATGTCATATTTTAAGCCATGAACTATATCTTATCGACCGATGTGACATTTTTCACATCAGCAGCATCGAGGCACCAGTATTAGCATTGAGGCACCAAACCCTGATTTTTGCCCTTTTAAATGTGCAGTGGTGGTATGTCCTTAGAGCCAAAACTATTAAAATAACCGTAACCCTTGAGCTTCCAAGGGTGTAAAATGAGGCCTTTTTCTCCCCATTTGGTGCAAGATCATTTTCTTCCTCATTTTGAGTGGTGAAATCTCTCCTTGGGCGTTTAGAGTGCGTGAAATTCCTCTACATCTTATTTTCTCTTAAAGGGGTAAACTTTTTTGGTTTGTTTGAGCCCCTTTTAAGCTTTTTAAAGTTATTGGATTGTTGGTTAGAGCTTCTTGTAGCTTTACCCTCTTCCAACTGTGATATTGTACGATTCACACTCATCATCCTGCCATCCTCTCTTCCTCTTTGTTGGAGCCTCTCAATATCAGTATTACTATTCATGGTAGTCGTAGGAGTTGGTGAAGTAGTCGGCTAGGCTTTAAGGCTTCAAACATCACTCACCTTTGTGTAGGCAAATATCCTTTGCCTTTTGTGATTTTTTTTTCTAATAAAGCGTTAGGTTATGTGTTAGAGCAACTTTAATAGATTGTTGTTATAAAAAAAATTAAGTTATGTCCCCCTCATTTTCTTATCATTGCCACGCCTCTTGATGCTCCTTTGAGCATAAGGCCTTAGTTTGCACAGTGTCGTGAGGTTACCCTTTGAGCATTACAACACCATCTCTTTTTTTAGAGTGAAATGATGTTCTAGTGTCATGTATTGGCCTTTGACCCTTGTTTTAACCCATTGGTAGTTATGCATCATTCCCTTTATAATAATGTAAGGTCGTCAAGTTTAGTTTAAATTAGTGCTCAAATGATAATTTTCTTCATTATAACACCAAGTCCGCAGATCGAACTATGACATTGCTCTCAACATCGTGGCCCTAAATGGACTTTACTTTCAAATGGCTTAAAGTCACAACACCAGTTTAAAAGTGGTGGTGTTAATCATTACCTTATGGTTTAGTTTTGTGTTCTATGTTGATATAAATCCAACATCGTAATCTTTTTTTTTTTTATTAATATAATAACCTTTTTCACTATAGCATATAGCATAGGGAGTTAACCATCTTTTATCCTTCTTTTTCTTGAACCACAAAGTCAATGCAGTGTCTTGTGGAGTGCAACAAATACGAGCACCCATCGTTCGGTCATGATGAATTTTTATTGGTAGAAAAACTATCAAGTCTTTTGATTTTCATCAAGCTAAAAAAATATGGTGGTTTTGTCTTTTCGGTTGTTGGTGCACCCTTTTGTATGGGTGGTGACCTTGTTTGATTTTTTTGGTCATATCTTTAAACTACTTTGGTGTGGTTTTTTTTCTGTTCGCCATAGATCTCAAATGATTTCTATCTAAATGATTAGATGTGAAATTTGAAGAATAATAAATCATTCTAAGGAATAGAAATATCAATTTAAAATAGATCTAACTAAAGATGATGAAAATCTTTGTGATTCATGGATCTATGAAACTAGAATTGTTCCTTACCTTACAAGTTTAAGATAATGTTTATTTTATTCTTGAGTCTAATATCACTTTGAAGGGGCTCCCTCATAATTAATTACATCTCAAGAATTACTCTTGAGAACACTCTTGATTAAAGTTATGTCTTATATCTTTTTTGATTATCAATGAATGTCTATGGATATGTTTGAAGACTTAGATAGAAGGATAAGCTTGA